TCCTCCTCCTCCTCCTCCTCCTCCTCCTCCTCCTCCTCCTCCGCCTCATCCTCCTCTGCATCCTCCTCCTCCTCCTCCTCATCCTCCTCCTCCTCCTCCGTCGCCTCTGCCTCCGCCTCCGCCTCCTCCTCCTCCTCCTCCTCCTCCCCCTGGCGGCGCCTCTGTCGCCGCCCCTGGTGCGCTTCGCGCGCTAGGGAGGGGGGTCCAGCGCCAATTCAAGAAATCAGCGCGGACCTCCGAAAGTTTATGTTCATCTGTGTCGGTCCGCACTGACCGCACCAGCAAGCACTTCACTATACAGCGAGGAGTTAAACAAGGTGACCCTCTCAGCTCTCTACTCTTCAACAGTGTGACGGAACACGTGATGCGCATCCTTAAATCACGGTGGGAACAGCAGAAGATCGGCATCCACCTGGATGACCAGACGCGGTCCAGACTCACCAATCTACGCTTTGCCCTTTGCCGGCGATGTTTTGCTGGTTTCGTCTTCTGCGAACCACGTCGCAAGCATGCTGTCTGACCTGAACACACACGCCTCGCGCGTCGTCCTCCAACTACATCTGAGCAAGACGAAGATCTTACATAATGGTCCACGGGTTTACGCACAGACGACGGCCACCAGCAGCTATACATGTTGACAACATGACAGTCGAAGTTATCCCACCCTACCATTTCACGACATATTTGGGGAAGCGAATACAGTTTTCTGGACAACACTCAGCAGAACTCGACAACAGGATCGCCGCTTCCTGGAGAACGCTCCACCTGCCGAAAGAAGAGCTCACCGACAGGTCCCATTCTCTACGCGACCGGCTCCGACTCTTCAATGGCACGATCACTCCGACCATATTGTACGGAAGCGAAAGCTGGACATTAACACAGGACCTGCAACAGAGGTTGAACAAAACACAGCGTCAGATGCTCCGCATGATCGTGCACGTACAGAGAAGACCGGCGTCAACTCACCCCACCACCGACGCTATCGACGATATCCTGCTCGAGCCTTGGCAAGACTGGATCAAACGTGCCACCCACGACGCAACACGACGGATGCGGCAATACGAGATGGACGACTGGGCCATGGCTTACAGACGGAAAGAATGGGCATGGGCGCCGAGAGTAGCCAACATGGAGGCTTCAGAATGGCCGGCACAGGTGACAAAAAATGGAGTCCACACCTCGACCTGTTGCCGTCAACCCGCCGGCGTCCGGCACGTCCAAAGACTCGTTGGGCAGACGATATCAAACAACATGTGCAGACAGCTGGCCATGGACGCTGGGTGCAGGTGGCAAGATCACCTGTGTGGGATACCTTAAAAGAGGAGTACATCAACAAGGGGTACACCAACAAGTGAGTAGGCTTGGCCCCCCCCCGGCAGCGCCCTCGCGGAGCCACTAGCCGGCTTCCGTTCCGTTCCGTTCCTGTGTTTGTTGCTGCTCGAGGGCTGCAGAGGGGAGGAGGAGGGCAAGCGGGAGAGGCAGGGAGGAGGGAAAGGACGGATGGACGGATCTGTCCGCCACCGTGCCTCGTGCTCACAGCTGTGCTGCTGCTGCAGCCAGCACTGCAGCTTCTGAAGGGCCTGGGCCACCAACGATGGATTGCAGAAAAACCCAGGATTGCAAAAAAAAACCCAGGATTGCAAAAAAACCCAGGATTGCAAAAAAACCCAAGGATTGCAAAAAAACCCAGGATTGCAAAAAAACCCAGGACTGCAAAAAAACCCAGGCGCTCCTGGCGCTCCCAGGGTGCTCCGCAGGACCTCCGGGGCGGCCGCCACGCCCCCAACGACCCGCAGGCCTTCGCGGAGCTCCCCACCGAGAGCGCCCGAGACGGTCCAGCAGCGCTTCCTAGACAGCCCACGATGGCCCCCAGGACCACGCCAGAGGCCTCCAAGAGGCCTGCCAAAAGGCCTCCCAAGAGGGCCCCAAGTGGCAGACATCGTGGCTTGTCCATTGGCTCTGAAAGGTTGTTGGGGTACTCGCGTTTTCGGCTTCCCGACGCTCCCAAACGGCCCAAGAGGCTCCCAAGATCGCCCCAAGGCGGCCCAACTGGCCCCCGAGACGGCCCCAAGACAGCCCAAGAGGGCCCCAAGATGCTCCAAAAGCCTCCAAGACGGCCCAAAAGGCCCCCAAAACGGCTCCCACGGAGGGCCCAGACAGGGTCCCCCAACGTACATTTCGAGACCGCGGCCGAAAAGAAGCCTCCAGGATGAGCGAAGAAGCCCCCAAGAGGTACCCAAGAGGCCACATGAGGCACCCAAGAGGCCCCCAAGAGGCCTCCCAAGAGGGCCCCAAGAGGCAAACATCCCAATGAACAACCTAGAGGCCAATGGCCCACAATCCAGGCACGGGGGCGGGATGGGCCGAAGGCCATTCGATGTTTGTTGTTCCTCGAGGGCTGCGGGGAGGGGAGAAGGAGGACGAGCGGGAGAGGCAGGGAGGAGGGAGAGGGCGGATGGAGGAATGCGTCGGATGCTTCTGCCCCGTGGTTGTGGTGATAGTGGTGATGGTGGTGCTGGCGGTGGTGGTGGTGATGGTGGTGGTTGTGGTGGTGGGTCGTCGTCGTCGTCGTCGTCGTCGTCGTCGTCGTCGTCATCGTCATCGTCGTCGTCGTCGCGGGCCTCGTCATCGTCGTCTTCGTCGTCGTCGTCATTCGTCCTCGTCGTGGCATCGGCCCTTTGGCTGGCGCCCTGCTGGGCCGCTCCTGGTGGCTCGCGCGGCGCGACGCCCTGGGGTGCAGCAGCTTCGGCCTCCTCTCCTTGGGGGAGGAGGAGGCGGAGGAGGAGGAGGAGGAGGGGAGGAGGAGGAGGAGCAGGAGGAGGAGGATGGTAGAACACAAGAGCCTCGTGGCCTATGTTTGCCGAACGCAGGAGGAGGAGGAGGAGGAGGAGGAGGAGAAGGAGGAGGAAGAGGCGGAGGAGGAGGGGAAAGACAGGACATGGGAGGAGAGGAGGAGAGGAGAGGAAGGAGGGGAAAAGGAGTGGACACTTTGGTCAAACAGAGACACAAAAAGCCGGCACGGAAGAGCACCGGGATGGGGCCCGAGCCCCACCGAAATGGAGGAGCGGTATCCACATGCGTTCCCACGCTCCTGGTCCTGTCTCTCACGCGGCGCGCAAGTCCGCAGCAAGAGCGGGTGTCAGCACCTTGGCCGCCACGTGCTGACAAGAGGAGTGCCACAGATCTCCCATACGCATCCAAGCGGCTTCGGGCCGTAGGAGCTGCATTCCTAAGTATACCAGGAAGAGTGAGGAGGGGGAGGGAAGGGGAGGGAGGAGGTGGGAGAAGGTGGGAGCAGGTGGAAGCAGGTAGGATCATGTAGGAGCAGGTAGGAAGAGGAGGAGGAGGAGGAGGGAGGAGAAGGAGGAGGGGGAGGATGAGCAGCGTGACCTGGCAGACCCTGCCCCCAGACATCGCTGCAACGGAGAAACAATGCGCAGGGCCCAGGCTGCCGCTGAACACGGACATGGAAGGCTGAGGCCGTTCAACTACCTTGGCTATGTACCACTTTTTGTTACCACTGCCGGAGGCGCCCCTTGTCCACGGCAGGGTTCGCGATCGTGCCGGAGCTCATGTCAATCGTTTAGACCCCGAAGGAGGCTTTCATGGGCATGGTGGACAAGGGCGTTGGAATGGGTGGCGATTCGTCCATCAAGATCTTCCACTAGTCGTTCTACGCGGGTTGCTACATTGGCTTCGGGGGCATGCTGTCGATGGTGGTGGCTGGCGGGCTGGACAGCGCGGTCCAGGACAAACCGACCATCCAGACCTTTGTATTCGCTGCGCTCTTCCCTGCGAACCTGCTGCTCATCCTCCTCACTGGTGGGGTGCTGATCACAGGCACAGCGGCGTCAGTCCCTGCCGCTGTGTTTGAGGGCAAGCTGCACAGGATGCAGATCCTGAGGACGTTCGCGCTGGCTTGGGTGGGTTATCTGCCTGGCGCCCTGCTCCTCGCTGACTTCGTCACAGCCTGCAGCCTGAACGTTGGCCTGACTGCCTCGCTTGCCCGCAAGGCTGCGGAGAAGAAGATCAAGGAGAGCTTCCTGGCCACCTTCCTCAAGGGAATTGGGTGTAACTGGCTGGCGTGCATGGTGGTGTTCCTGCAGGGCCCGGAGCAGGACATTGTTGGCAAGATGGTGGGCATCTGGTTCCTCATCTTTTGTTTCGTGGCCATCGGCTTTGAGCACATCCCAGCCAACATGTTCATGATCCTCATGCGGATGATGGCTGGCGCAGACGTGTCCGTGGTGGACTGCCTCTGGAGGAATTTCACCCCAATGACCCTCGGGAACATCTTCGCCGTTTCCGTCTTCGTGGGCAGTGGTTACTCTTTCGCCTTCGGCCGGCTGGGTAGCTCGCCGATATTCCATTTGCCCGCGAAAGAGCAGGGCTCGCTTAAGGATCAGAAGCCAACCAGCGATGCGTCCGTGATTACACCTGTGGCTTATGGTTTATGCGTACGCTGCCAGGCTGAGGGGCCTCAGGGTCGCATTCTTGCAGTTTTTCAACCACCCAAAATGTCATGAGAAATAAATGGAACTCACCCGCGGCGGCGAGCTTGCTAAGACCGTGCGGCGTATTTTCCTCAGTGGATATCTAGATCGTGCAGGGTACAGCTCATGTGCCAGGATAGCTGAACGGCTGAGCCTTTTAAGCAACTATTATGTGGCAGCCTGGGCCCTTCGCCTTAATTTCTTCTCGGCAGCAGTGTCTGCGGGGCAGGGTAAACCATGTCGTGCTGCACCCGCGGCGGCGAACTTTGTCAGCCCGTGCAGAGTACAATTAACACCCAGAGGAGGAGAAGGAGGAGGAGGAGGAGGGAGGAGACAGGGAGGAGGGGGAGGAGGGCAGGAGGGGGAGGAAGGATGGAAGAAGAGGAGGAGGGAGGCACAGCGTTTCATGAACATGGAGGGGGAAGGAATAGGCGGAGTAGGAGTAGGAACCAGTGGCGAAGCTAGTACTCGATCTGAAAAAAAGCCTCCCCCCAGCTCAGACGACGGACGAGACGAGGAAGCCCCACAGCAATGGACCTCATGAACTATATGAAATGAGGGAGCGAGGAGGGAGGGCGAGGAGGAGGCATAGCCATAGGCACAGGCACTAGGAGATCACAGGCAGACAACTCTCAGCTCTTCTTCGACCCTTACGAGAAGGGAGGAGGGAGGAAGGGGGCAGGAGGGAGGAAGGAGGAGGAGGAGGCCTGGCCATAGGCACACGCGCTGGGAGGTCATACGCAATCAAATCTCTGCTCTTGTCCGACCCCTACGGTAAGGGAGGAGGGAGGAAGGGGGTAGGAGGGAGGAGGGAACAAGAGGAGGAGGAGGCATAGCCCTAGGCACAGGCGCTGGGAGATCATACGCCATCAACTCTCTGCTCTTGTCCGACCCTTACGGTAAGGGAGGAGGGAGGAATGGGGTAGGAGGGAGAAGGGAAGAAGAGAAGGAAGCAGCCATAGGCACAGGCGCTGGGAGATGATACGCAATAGACTCTCTGCTCTTGTCCGACCCCTACGGTAAGGGAGGAGGGAGGAAGGGGATAGGAGGGAGGAGGGAACAAGAGGAGGAGGAGGCATAGCCATAGGCACAGGCGCTGGGAGATCATACGCCATCAACTCACTGCTCTTGTCCGACCCTTACGGTAAGGGAGCAGGGAGGAATGGGGTAGGAGGGAGAAGGGAAGAAGAGAAGGAAGCAGCCATAGGCACAGGCGCTGGGACATCTTGAGTAGTCAACCCTCTGATCCTGCTCGAACTTTCCGCTACGGGGGGATGACGGAGGGGTAGGAGGGAAGAAGAGGAGGAAGCATGGCCATAGACATAGGCGCTGAGAGGCTATAAACGGTCCGCTCTCTGCTCTTGCTCGACCCCTTCGATGGGCACACGGACGCAGGGCCCCACACTCAGGTCGAGCCTGCCTGCGAGGCGCTGCGGTCGCCCTGTGACGGGTGCAGCGGCCACGTCGGCAAGGGCTTCCCCTGTCAGAGTGCCGGTTGCCGTCCAGGCGTCAGTGCCCAACAGTCAGAGTCGGGAAGAGGAGCATCACCGAGCAGGAGGAGGGGGAGGAGGGCACTCGCACCAATGAAGAATATGACTATCCCTGAACGAACTATCAGCTTTGGCGCCAAATGTAGTCTGAGTAATAGTACTGTCACGCGCGTGCTGCACGCACGTCGCAGCATTGATTCTGTGGACGCGAGCACGTTCCTCATCCCCTGGTGCCCACTCCACCTCATCAAACACACCTGTTTCCAATGCCGCGCTTACTATGTATAGTCAGACACATTGCGTCGACAACTTTTGAAAACGGGCATTTCAAACATTATCATAGAGTTGCGTCATGGAGCACAGGGTTTGCAGCTTAGGAGAACTCTCGAGCTCCCCACCCCCCGCGGGCCTCGTCAACATTCTCAATGATTTTCGGGCGAATCATTCGCGCCGTCGCACTGATCCATGTATCGTGTATGAGTGCCGTGGCACCAACCGTCCGTGGCATGGCGCGCCGAAGCGCAAACGAAACCGAGAGGCAACACGATGAGCACAGGAAGACAGGAGGAGAGGAGGGGGACGAGCAGGAGGAGGCGGGCCGCAGGACCGAGACGGCCAGCCGGACGACGAAGGAGGCTTGGGCGGTCGAGGAGAAGAGGACGGAGGAGAAGGGGGCGATGGGCCGGAGAGGGCGGGCCGCAGGTCCGAGGCCACAGGCCGGAAGACGAAGGAGGGGCGAGGGGGCAGAGCGCCAGAGGGGGGCGAGGGATGCCGCCAGGGATGCCCGCGCCCGTGGCGGCCTGCTGGCCGCGGGCGCCGCGCGGCCGCCGCGTGCGGCAGCTGCTCGGGTCGGACCATCCCGGTGGCCGCCGTCGGCGCCGCGGACGGCGCCAGCGGGGGGGCGGAGGGGAGGCTCGGGGGCGTCCGAGGGTGCGTTGGAGAGGGGGGCGTCCAAGGGGGGGGGGGGACGCAGAGCATCACGTGGCCTCGTCTCTGCGGGCCAGGCTTTCTATCTATGTCCGCTGCGTCTTGGACTCTCGGAAGGTACGCCAGAAGGACGGGGCGCGGTGGACATGGGTGAAGATCGAGCCTCTAGAAGCCTACCTTTTATGCATATCCAGTGCGCCTCGAGTGTCTGGGGAAGGGAGCCCGAAACTCGAAGCTGCAGCGGATACGGACACAAGTCTTGCCCGCAGTCTCTATCAGAGGGTGGTCGTGACCGAAACTGTGCCCGATAATGTGCCCGAGTGCGACCGAAACAAACGCCCAAATCATCCCGAACACGCCAGGGTGTGACCAAAATTCTTGGTCCGAAACCAAGACGGACGATTTCAACTTCGGTCACATTCTCGGTCGCAATGTTGGTCACACATTGTTTTCGATCAAAGTGTCGGGCAAGTGTTCGGTCACTTGTTCATGTTCGTGCCATGAAAAGCATGGTCCGGGGCACGTGCGCGGCCTAGGGGGGGAGGCAGGGAACGTAGTGGAGCAAACAGAGGGGGCAAGGAACTCCAGGGAGATTTCCTGGCCACGGCCATGCTATCCACCCCCTCATGGGCATCACCCCCGTCTTGGCCGCCACGGAGAAGGGATGGGGGGCAGGGCGGGGGGGAGAGAGACGGGGAGAATTCGGCCCTCCCCCCTTCCTGCGCCAGGGCGTCTCCGAGGTTGGCCATCTCGGACGCGTTCTTGGGGTCAACCTCGTCGATGAGGTCGGCGACCCGGTCCAGGGTCTTTTCCTCCTCGCCCGGGCACAGCACGGGGTGGGACGGGGAAAACTGAAAGAGCATGGGGGAGCCAGGGAATGAGTGTTCATGACGTTGAAGCGCCCCCGCAGTGCGCCTCTTCAGGGCCTGGTGAGCTGACAGAACCACACCTGGAAAGGAAAACGAAAAAGTCGGTCAGACGTGATTGTATCGGGGACCGTCGAGGTTCAGCCGAATCGACCACTCGAGCTGGTCCCACCAGTTCACTCGGCTTCCAGCAGACTTGCATGCTTCTCGAGATGAGGATGAGTCTGCTTAGGCAGTCGCCGTAGTCACTACGCGACGTTGTTCACACATGGCCTTCGAACCAAACGACGCGCAGTGTCGCCCAAGGTGGGGCAGCCGAGGATCACTCAAGACAGTGCAGCCTATAAACACCTGAGCGCAACATATAAACATCGTAGGGCTGCAACACGTCTGGCAACACGTTTGGACAACAGTACGCAATGGGACCCGACATGGGTTGCGACAAACACCTGGGGAAACCAAAAGGCACCGATACCGCTACTCCCCGGAACTCTCGCGGGGTGCGTTCTGACCAGGAGTTGTTCGGGGCGAGTCCAACGGTGGCGACGATGGCCTCCCAGGAGACCCACACAAGAAGAAAGCGAGAGCAGGGTAGCGGTATGGATACTTGTTCCTCCTCTGATCCTCTGGTCCTCCTCCTCCTCCTCCGCATCCTCCTCCTCCTCCTCCTCTTCTTTTTCCTCCTCCTCCTCCACCTCGTTCTGGTCCTCCTCCTCCTCCTCCTGCTCTTCCTCCTCCTCCTCCTCTTCCTCCTCCTCCTCCTCCTCCCCCTCCTCCTCCTCGTCCTCCTCCACATTCGAGCCATATTGGGACCCCGCGAGTCCACTGGCGGAAACGAACACATCACAATCCAAACGACATTGGTTTCCTTCAGGTTTGGGACGGGTTTGGGCCAATCGCCGTTGTCCTTGGCAGACTTCGCGGTCACTTGGGGCCGCCATGGGACGGTCATGGCGAAGCCGGGAAGCGCGATGAAAACTCTCGTGGACCATCGTGGGCCATCTTGCGCGATCTTGGAGACAATCTTCGGCTATCCCTGGCCCGCGCGACTTGCCCCCCCACGAGGGGAAGCGCGGAGGGCGCGGCGGGAAACTGCTTGCCAACCGCAACGTGGAGGGGCCGAGGCGTCGAACAGCAGCAGCCGGGACGCGGCCAGCAGGAGAGCGCCAAGGGGGGGGGACCGGCGCTGGTTTGAGCCGGACGCGCGCGGGCGGCCGTCATCGTCGTTCCTTCGCCGTCGTCGCGCGCGCCTCTCTCTCTCTCTCTCTCTCTCTCTCTCTGCTTTCCTCTATCTACCTGTCCTTCCCTCGCCTGTTTCCGTTCTCTCCTCTTTTCCCATTATGCTCAGAAGCGCGGCCGCGGAGGGCCCAGAGGCGAAGAAGCAGGCGGCAGGCAGGCGGGCGACGAAGAGGCGGGGGGGCACGATGGGCACCTGGCAGAGCGGCAGCGCCTCGAGGCGAAGCACTGCGCGGCCAGGGCGGGCGAGCCGAGCCTGGGCCCCGCCGCAAGCCCTATCGGAGGTCGAGCCTTGGTGTGGGCGTGGGCAGGGCGAGTCAGGAGAGGGCGGGGATTGGTGGAGGGCGAGGGCAGGGGCGGGTCTTCTGCCCAAGGGTCCTCGCCCTTCGGCTTCTCCAGCCCGAGGTCGCTCTCCTCGGTGCTCGCCTGGGTTCGGGGCAGAACCACCACAAGGGAGGAAGCCTCCTCATCCTCTCTTCCTGCTGCTGCTCCTCTTTTTCTTCCGTCCGTGATCACTCGGGCTCGGGTTATGGCTCGAAGCCCCCAGTTCGGTTCCCAGTCTCCCCCTCTTCATCCCCCTTCCCCTCCTCATCCCCCTCTATCTCCCCCTCCTTCTCCTCCCCCTCCTTCTCCTCCCCCTCCCCTCCTCCTCCTCCTCCTCCTCCTCCTCCTCCTCCTCCACCTCCTCCTCCTCCTCCTCCTGCTGGTTTCCGGATTACCTGATTTAACTACATGGACCCACGACGTGAAACCAGCAGCAGAGACGAGAGCGGAGCGGGACAGAGCGGGGACAAATCAATTGCGGCGCATACGTGCGCCGCTCCCGTGCTCAACAACACCGACATCGTCGACACCTACGAGCCGTGCGATGGGGGAGCTACACTCGGAACACCTCCAGGCCTGGCGCTGCACGAACTGAAGACAACTCATCCCAACAAATCGATCACGGACACGCCTGCGGCGCCCTGGTGTGGCGCTCACGTGCCCTACGACACGAATGAGCACGCGCTGACGACAATTTTTTCCGAGAAGTCGATCATGGACACGCATGCGGCGCCCTGGTGTGGCGCTCACGTGCCACAAGACACGAATGACAGCATCGGCATCACCGAGCTGCACAAGGCCCTAGAGGAGCCGATGGACCCCCACATCCCTGCTGTGCCATTCCTCCGTCATTCAGATCTTCTCCAGCTGCCCATCACCTCGCCGCGCCTCATGACCCGCGAACTCCCGTTCAACCATGTGCGCACGATCCTCGTGGTGCCCTCTCGTGCGAGCAAGCGTGCACATCAGGCACGCGTATAGAGATGCAGGTCAATCAGGTGCAAGCGAACACCATCGAGAAGCATGGCAATGACATCGCGGAAAACGCGTGAGGAGGACGGCACCACGAGGCGCCCGAGTGTGCCGCTCGTTCTTGCCTGGCACCGCATGTCCTCAAGCGAGAATTTGGCTGACAAGTACCAGCTGCCTGCCGACATCTACGAGGCTATCACAAAGAGCGCGCGCACCAACACGAACCTGTGCGAAGCCGTCGACCAGGCCGAGCGGCTCACGCGAGCCCACGAGTATTGGCACGGTGCTCCCTCAGAAAGCCTTTTCGATCTATTCACTGACTTTGCGGAGTACGGATGAGAGACTCTTTGCATCGTCACCCGCTTATCTTTATTCTCGTGCCATTTGCTTATTTGCTTTCCCAATTCATCCCCCTCCCTATTGTTATCCTCGGGCAGCCTCCACTCCTCCTGCTCCCCCCCTGTCGGACACGCATTACCTGCGCGCGAGCGCTCGAGTGCAACACCGTGTCGGCACCGGCCAATAGGCAAGAGGCGGGTACGCCCCGCAGCGACGAGCGCAGATTGTACAACATTTTCCACACGTGGTATAGCCATGTACAGCAAATCCAACTTGCGAAGTCTTGTTCATTGCTCCCATGTCGTCGTAAAAAAAGAGAGACGACATCGACACCCCCCCACAGCTTATGCGAGGAGTGAGTCTGCCTGATGACTCTGGAAATCCCACTGCACGGGGTTGGGGCAAGGCCCCTGTGTGTCCTCTCGCGGGACACGCAGACGCGACGGGCAGAACCCTTCCCACAGCGCAGAGCCTCGTGACCGCTCGCGCTCATCACGATGAAGAGACCCGAAGGCTCAGGTTTGGCCCTGGCCCTGACAAACTCAACATCAAGGGGACGACTTCTCCTCCTCCTCTTCGTCCTCTTCCATCCCCGCTTCCTCCGTCTTCCCCCCTCCCCCCTCCGATCCTCCAATCATGGCATGAATGAAACGGGTCCTGCGGGAAACGGGTCCTGAACCCCAGGGCCTTCCCCCGTGACCACTTCTTCACGCTGAGTCGCGTTTTGAAGATCCCGGGGCTCTGGGAGGCCCCCCAAAGGCCGAAAGCTGCTGCCCTCCTTCTGTCGTTAGAAGGAAAGCCAGAAGCTGCATAGACATAAACTTTTGAAGGTCCTCGATGATTTCTTGGATCGTCGCTGGACCCCCCTCCCTGGCGCGCGGGGCGCCTCAAGGGCGGCGGATGCACTGCCGGGGAGGGCCCAGCGCAGATCCGAGAAAGCCGCGCGGAGCTCCGAAAGTTTATGGTTATGTGGCTTGCTCCTTCTTCGACTCATGGCGATCATCCTCTTCGGCTCGCCTCCTTCTCCAGGTCGTGGCTCGCTCTGTTTGCCTCGTGCACCCAGGCGCTCAGCTCCTCGGCCAGCTTGGGGTCGACTGCCTCCTCGGCCGCCTTGGCGGTCTTCCTGTGGGGCCTCCTGCCAGCGCCCAGGTGACGAGGAGAAGAGCGAGGGCAGCTTGGACACCGAAGCTGTGTGCATATGCCTGTGTACATACGTACATACGTACATACACACAAACACACGCATACATACATGCATGCATGCATGCATCCATACGTACATACACATACATACATACATACATACATACAAGCATACATACATGCATACATGCATACATACAGACAGACAGACAGTCATGCATTACATACATGCATTGCATACATACATACATACATACATACATGCATACAAACAACAACAATATAAATACATACGTACATACATACGTACGTACATTCATACCGATATACCATACATACATGCATGCGTATGTAAATACGTGCATGTATGTATGCATAGCTATTCATATATACGTACCTACGTGCATGCATACATACATACACACATACATGCATGCGTGCGTGCATGAATGCATACATACGTACATTCCTACATGCCTGTATGCATACATACACACATGCATGTATACATGCATATCACACTACATAGTGGATACATGCATACCTACACACATGCATAAAGTCACGCATGCATATATGTTTACACTCATACATGCACACATGTACGCATACATACATGCATGCATGCATACATGCATGCGTGTATGCAAACATGAATACATACATGCATGCATGCTTGCATACATGCGTGCAAGCATACACGTATACACACATAGCTACGTACATTCACATACATGCATACATGTATACATGCATGCACACATGCATATACACGAACGCGTGCACACATACAGACATGCATACGTGCAAATACAGGCATGCATGGATGCATACATGAATATGCTCATACACCTATACATATAGACATGCTTATCGGCATACAGGCATATGGACATACATGCATACATTATATGCATAGCCGTATGCATGCATACATACACCCATACCTACACAAGTCCAACATACATGCATGCAGACATACAGCCATACAGATGAGTATATATATACACACAAACATACATACAAATCTACATGCGCGTATACATATATACGTACACATTTACATACGTGCATGCACATATATGTATCATAAATACATACATGCATGCATACATGCATACATACTTACACACATACACACATGCATACATTCATGCATGCATGCATGCATGTATGCATGCATACATATATATACATGATGTAATGTATACAGGAAGGTGGAGGAATGCTCAAGGATAAACAATCGCGAGAAAACTCTACAGTGACGACGGCCAACACCTGCCATGGCCCCATATTGATCCATGCACACATGTGCAACTCGAAAAATAAAATCAGCAACGACCAACAAGAGGAGGGAAGTCTCCGGCATCCCCGCTGCACTCTGCGGCCCAGGCATGATATGCTGCGCCGATATAGACGTCGAAAGTAGAAGCCGCCTCCGAGGCACGGCGCCCGACACACGGCGCAAGCAAGAGTGCAGCAGCACGGATGAGGAACACGAGAAGAGCGCAAGACGACGACTAGAGAAGAGGAGGAGGAGAACGGCCAGCCAAGGAGGACCCTCGAGACCGCCAGCGCGGCGCCCAAGAAACCCCCAGCGGGCTCGAAGAGGCGCCCCGAGAAGCCCCAGGAAGAGGCCTCCGGAGGGTCCGCAAGAGGCACCCGAAGGCCTCCCCCGTGGACGTCTGCCCTCTTCTGGGGGTCAGGAATGGCGTAGGCCTGTGTGTAATGAGAAGGGGGAGGAGGTCGGCCAGCTGGTATCCGCCACCATGTGAGCAAGCGTTGGGCCAGCGCGAAGAGTGACAATCGGCGCGACCGCGTTGTCGAGCACCTCCCCGGCCAGCGGCGCGCCGGCACGCCACACCGGGTCAGATGTCACACGCGTCGATCCTCAGGCACGTGTGCACGGTGTTCTTGCGAATTCCACTCAACTCATGGGAAAATACCCGTGATGATATGCGCCTGTTAGCCGTGTGTGGATGGTGCTTCGCCTTCGCCGTTGGGAACTGCATTAGCTGGCATGTCAGTGCCCACCGTAGTAGTGGTGAGGCCGAATGGGATCGACATAGGGATGGAGTGGTGCACTGCTACCGTGCTGCGGTCGATCGTAACCAGGCCGACGTGGCTGGGTTGCTCTGCGGCTGCGGTGGCAGTGAGTCCGGAGCGGTGGCGCAGTGTGGGCAGAGAGGCAAGCCAACGGCGTACAATCCCAGCCAGGCTGGTGAAGGTCGAGCGTCGCGGCCGTGGGGGCCACGCTGGTGGGAGACGGGGTAGCGCAGCTCTGCTCCACTGGGGAAGCGCTGCAGCTGGCCTCGGCGGCGAGTGCCGGCCCCAGCCGAGAGGCGGAGGAGGAGGAGGAGGAGAAGGAGAAGGAGGAGGAGGCGGGTCGGGCGGGCGCGCCTCCTCTGGCAGGCTACACGCAAGAGTGGCCCTAGGCACGAGTGGCCTTCAGTGCGCGGAGGACGGGGGGCGCAAGGTGGCCAAGTCCAAGCGCGCAAGCAGCCGCTGACGCATCGCGCTCAGCTATCGGGGGGATCCCGACGAGCCCGCACCAGAGGTTACTCCAGCGAAGGGTCACTCTTACGCGTAGTCGATCTGGGAGTGGGAGCCGCGCCACCGGCCCAGCTCAGCACGGGGGTGGGGGAGGGGGGGACTCGGTGCTGACGGGGTGCCCGGAGATCGGTGTGGATCGTGGCTGTGGCTCTCTCCTCACCCTCGGTGGCTACGTCAAGACATGCTGAGTGCTGCGGCGGTTTGCGTGAAAGGGTCGTGGACGATCGAACCGCCGTCGTCGGACAGGGTGTAGTGGGTAATGATAGGATGCGCGATCGAGCTGCTGCTGGAGCCGCCAGGTGCAATGTAGACTCTGTGGTACTACGCCCCTGTGTCGGAGTAGCGCGGGCGTCCAGTTGGGCGGGACAGATGGGTTGATGGGTTCGCTCAGGGTGCGATCAACCACCGTACTCTTCATCCTTTTCCTATTCCTCCCCCCTCTCGGCTGCGCATGTCCTGATATGGTTGCGGATCGCCTTGCGGAACGCGATGGCCGCCATGCGCCTAGAAGTCTCGTCGATGCTGGTCTCGTTATCGGTGTCGTACTCCTTCAGCACGTCCTGGGAGGGGAGAGGCTGTGGAAAAGCAAGAAGAGGAGGCGGAAGAGAATGGAGAACGGAGGAGAAAGCAAATAATAGGGAGGAAGAAGGAGGGTGAGGAGGAGGGAAGGGAAGAAGGACGAGGAAGAGGCTGGAAGAGAGAGAATGAGCGTACATCCTGGTCCTCCCCATCCATATTCCCATCAGCGCTCCTCCCTTCTGAATACTGGTTGTCCTTTCTCATCTTCCTCTGCTCCTCCTCCTCCTCCTCCTCCTCCTCCTCCTCCTCCTCCTTCGCCTCCTCCTCCTGCTCTCGACCATCCTCCTCGCCTCCTCCTCCTCCTCCTCCTCCTCCTCTTCCTCCACCTCCCTCCCTCCTGATCCTCCTCCTCCTCCTCCTCCTCCTCCTCCTCCTCGTCATCCTTCTTCTCCTCCCTCATCCTCCTCAGCCCATCTCTTCCTCCTTCCCCTCCACCATCGTCGCTCCTCCTCCACCCCCTTCTCCCCCCCCGTCCTCCTCCGCCTTCTCCATATTCTTCTTCTTATTCCCAACCCTCCTGCGTTGGGTACTCGTTTTGAATAGAGCACTGCGGTCTCCACCTTTCTTCCTTCCCGCCCCCTCCCGCCTGCGGTCGCCATCCCTGGGTGGCTGCGATCTGTGAAACTGTCGCCACTTTCGAGGGCTGCTGGGGGGGCCAGCGGAGTGACGCCCCACGGGGACTCAGATTAGACCTCGCCATCCCTGGGGGGCTGCGATCTGCGAGACTGTCGTCACTTTCGAGGGCTGCTGGGGTGGCCAGCGGAGTGACGCCCCACGGGGACTCAGATTAGACCTCGCCATCCCTGGGGGGCTGCGATCTGTGAAACTGTGCCACTTTCGAGGACTGCTGGGGTGGCCAGCGGAGTGACGCCCTACGGGGACTCAGATTAGACCTCGCCATCCCTGGGGGGCTGCGATCTGCGAAACTGTCGACGCGTTCGAGGGTTGCTGGGGCGGCCAGCGGAGTGACGCCCTACGGGGACTCAGGTTAGACCTCGCCATCCCTGGGGGTCTGCGATTGTGAAACTGTCGCCACTTTCGAGGGCTGCTGGGGTGGCCAGCGGAGTGACGCCCTACGGGGATTCAGATTAGACCTCGCCGTTCCTGGGGGGCTGCGATCTGTGAAACTGTCGCCACTTTCGAAGGTTGCTGGGGTGGCCAGCGGGGTGACGCCCCACGGGGACTTAGATTAGACCTCGCCCATCCCTGGGGGGCTGCGATCTGCGAAACTATCGCCACTTTCGAGGCCTGCTGGGGGGCCCAGCGGAGTGACGCCCTACGGGGATTCAGATTAGACCTCGCCATCCCTGGGGGGCTGCGATCTGTGAAACTGTCGCCACTTTCGAGGCTGCTGGGGGGCCCAGCGGAGTGACGCCCTACGGGGGACTCAGATTAGACCTCGCCATCCCTGGGGGGCTGCGATCTGTGAAACTGTCGCCACTTTCGAGGGCTGCTGGGGGGCCCAGCGGAGTGACGCCCTACGGGGACTCAGATTAGACCTCGCCATCCTGGGGGCTGCGATCTGTGAAACTGTCGCCACTTTCGAGGGCTGCTGGGGGGCCCAGCGGAGTGACGCCCTACGGGGATTCAGATTAGACCTCGCCATCCCTGGGGGGCTGCGATCTGTGAAACTGTCGCCACTTTCGAGGCCTGCTGGGGGGCCCAGCGGAGTGACGCCCTACGGGGATTCAGATTAGACCTCGCCATCCCTGGGGGGCTGCGATCTGTGAAACTGTCGCCACTTTCGAAGGCTGCGTGGGGGGCCCAGCGGAGTGACGCCCTACGGGGATACAGATTAGACCTCGCCATCCCTGGGGGGCTGCGATCTGTGAAACTGTCGCGTGATCGACCTGAAGTCGCCTGGTGGAGACGCTCGTGATCGACCTGAGGTCCCAATCGCGCGTGCACTGTACCTGCGTGGCGTTCAGGCACGCGCGTGATGCTGCTCGCTCCGCGTTCAACCAGTACGTCGCCAGTGCAACTTTGGACGATGGACAACCGATTGATGATACGCGACCCCGGCCTTGAGTTTCTTTCCCGCGGGCCGCCCGCAGACCTGGCGGCGCGCCTGCGAGCGTTCAGCTCCCGCGCTGAAATGTGCGGGAAGGAGGCGGAGAAGCTAGCGGGCGAGCTACGCCTCGCTCGTTCCTTGCACTCTAAACAAGTTTTATCATGTGGAACTCTGCGACGACATGGCGCAGGCAGCGCTGCGGGTTTAGCTCGCACTTGAAAAACGCGGCAGTCTTCTGTCTCCTCCCGCCACTTTCATCGTCGTCCTATTCCCCGCCTCACCTTCTCCATGCATGCTGCTGCTTCCGCGATGGCCTTTCGCCCCCCCCCCCCCCCTCCCTCCATTCCATCCCTCTCCGACCCCTCGTTCCCGTACCCGTTCTTCTTCGATCCTGGGGCCTCAATCCGCGTTCTTTCGATCGTCGCCCTGTGAATCGTGCAACGCATGCGCATCCCATGTAGCTTGCACAGCAAATCGCCGCGTCTACACTGTCGTTGTTCCTGCTTATGTTGGCATGCTCCTCTTGCCATTTGATGCGCGCGGGTTGGGTACGTCGCAGGGTAATTCCCAACCCTCCTGCGTTGGGTGCTCGTTTTGAAAAAGCACTGTGGTCTCCACCTTCCTTCTCCTCCTCCCGCCTCCTCCCGCCCCCCCCTCTCTTCTCTTGCTCTCTCGCCATCCCTGGGGGGCGGCGATCTGCGAGACTGTCGTCACTTTCGAGGGCTGCTGGGGTGGCCAGCGGAGTGACGCCCCACGGGGACTCAGATTAGACCTCGCCATCCCTGGGGGGCTGCGATCTGTGAAACTGTTGCCACTTTCGAGGACTGCTGGGGTGGCCAGCGGAGTGACGCACTACGGGGGCTCAGACTAGACCTCGCCATCCCTGGGGGGCTGCGATCTGCGAAAGTGTCGCCGCTTGCGAGGGCTGCTGGGGTGGCCAGCGGAGTGACGCCCTACGGGGACTCAGATTAGACCTCGCCATCCCTGGGGGGCTGCGATCTGTGAAACTGTTGCCACTTTCGAGGGCTGCTGGGGTGGCCAGCGGAGTGACGCCCTACGGGGACTCATATTAGACCTCGCCATCCCTGGGGGGCTGCGATCTGTGAAACTGTCGCCACTTTCGAAGGCTGCTGGGTGGCCAGCGGAGCGACGCCCCACGGGGACTTAGATTAGACCTCGCCATCTCTGGGGGGCTGCGATCTGCGAAACTGTCGCTGGGGGGCTGGCCGAGTCTGTCACTGTCGCCTACTTTCGAGGCCTGCTGGGGGGCCCAGCGGAGTGACGCCCTACGGGGATTCAGATTAGACCTCGCCATCCCTGGGGGGCTGCGATCTGTGAAACTGTCGCCACTTTCGAGGCTGCTGGGGGGCCCAGCGGAGTGACGCCCTACGGGGATTCAGATTAGACCTCGCCATCCCTGGGGGGCTGCGATCTGTGAAACTGTCGCCACTTTCGAGGGCTGCTGGGGGGCCCAGCGGAGTGACGCCCTACGGGGACTCAGATTAGACCTCGCCATCCCTGGGGGGCTGCGATCTGTGAAACTGTCGCCACTTTCGAGGGCTGCTGGGGGGCCCAGCGGAGTGACGCCCTACGGGGATTCAGATTAGACCTCGCCATTCCTGGGGGGCTGCGATCTGTGAAACTGTCGCCACTTTCGAGGGCTGCTGGGGGGCCCAGCGGAGTGACGCCCTACGGGGACTCAGATTAGACCTCGCCATCCCTGGGGGGCTGCGATCTGTGAAACTGTCGCCACTGTCGAAGGCTGCGTGGGGGGCCCAGCGGAGTGACGCCCTACGGGGACACAGATTAGACCTCGCCATCCCTGGGGGGCTGCGATCTGTGAAACTGTCGCCACTTTCGAAGGCTGCTTTGGGGGCCAGCGGAGTGACGTCCTACGGGGACTCAGATTAGACCTCGCCAGCGCTGGGGGGCTACGATCTGTGAAACTGTCGCCACTTTCGAGGGCTGCTGTGGGGCCCATGAAACTGTCGCCACTTTCGAGACCTGCTGCGGGGTCCAGCATAGTGACGTCCTACGCGGACGCAGATTGGACCCGTCATTCTACTTCGATTATCCCGCATCTGCGATCGACTGTATGTGTGCGAGGAACTAGACATGGAGTGGTCTGGCACTGACTGACGTCAAATCGTTGTGTGCCAGTGTCTCCTGGGGTGTTGCCTGATGTGGATGCAGCTCGTCGGCGCTGCGACTCGAGCTGGCGGTCGTCCTTCGGACCCGCAGAAACATCTGCTGAGCTCGATGAGCTAGGGGAACTACAGGAAAGAAGTGCAGGAAACGGAGGCCGGTCATGCACTCGCCGATACCTCGTTGCTCTGTCATCGTCTTTGCTGTTGCATGATCCTTATCTGGCCTGCCGGCGCCGCGGCTCGAGCTGGCGGTCGCCCTTCGGGCCCGCGGGAACATCTTCTGAGACAAGTGGACGCCGCCGCCTTACTTGCAGGCAGCGCATTGCATTCGCGGACAGCAGCATGGCAGACCGCAGTGAGATCCTCAGTCGCGTGGTGTTGCCAAGCCTGGTGGAGACGCGCGTGATCGACCTGAAGTCCCAATCGCGCGTGCACTGTACCTGCGTGGCGTTCAGGCACGCGCGTGATGCTGCTCGCTCCGCGTTCAACCAGTACGTCGCCAGTGCAACTTTGGACGATGGACAACCGATTGATGATACGCGACCCCGGCCTTGAGTTTCTTTCCCGCGGGCCGCCCGCAGACCTGGCGGCGCGCCTGCGAGCGTTCAGCTCCCGCGCTGAAATGTGCGGGAAGGAGGCGGAGAAGCTAGCGGGCGAGCTACGCCTCGCTCGTTCCTTGCACTCTAAACAAGTTTTATCATGTGGAACTCTGCGACGACATGGCGCAGGCAGCGCTGCGGGTTTAGCTCGCACTTGAAAAACGCGGCAGTCTTCTGTCTCCTCCCGCCACTTTCATCGTCGTCCTATTCCCCGCCTCACCTTCTCCATGCATGCTGCTGCTTCCGCGATGGCCTTTCGCCCCCCCCGCCGTCCATTCCATCCCTCTCCTACCCCTCGTTCCCGTACCCGTTCTTCTTCGATCCTGGGGCCTCAATCCTCGTTCTTTCGATCGTCGTCCTGTGAATCGTGCAACGCATGCGCCTCCCATGTAGCTTGCACAGCAAATCGCCGCGTCTACACTGTCGTTGTTCTTGCTAATGTTGGCATACTCCTCTTGCCATTTGATGCAGGTGGGTTGGGTACGTCGCAGGGTAATTATTATTAGTAGTAGTAGTAGCAGCAGCAGCAGCAGTAGTAGTAGTAGTAGTAGTAGTAGTAGTAGTAGTAGTAGTAGTAGTAGTAGTAGTGGTAGTAGTAGTAGTAGTAGTCGTAGTCGTAGTAGTAGCAGCAGCAGTAGCAGTAGTAGTAGTAGTAGAAGTAGAAGTAGTAGTAGTAGTAGTAGTAGTAGTAATAGTAGTAGTATTTTTAAATAGTATCATCCTCCTCCTCCTCCTCCTCCTCCTCCTCTCCTCCTCCTCCTCCTCCTCCTCCTCCTCCTGCTCCTTCTCCTCCTCCTGCTCATCATCATCATCACCAGCATCATCAGCATGATCATCAGAATAGCAATCATCCTCATGAACAGGATAGCCATCATCATCACACACATCATCATCATCATCAGCAGCAGCATCAGCAGCAGTTGCATCACCATCATCAGCATCAGCATCATCATCAGCATCATCATCATCAGCCTCGTCAGCATCATCGTCATTAGCATCATCATCACCATCATCAGCATAATCAGCATCATCATCATCCTTATGCTCATCCTCATCACCAGTATCAGTGTCATCAGCAGCGACATCATAGTCAGCAGCATGATCAGCATCATGATCATAATCAGCATCAGCATCAGCATCAGCATCATCATCAGTATCAGCATCATCCTCAGCATCACCATCAACATCGTCATCATCATCATCATCAGCATCATCATCATCAGCAGCATCATCCTTTACATCATCATCATCATCATCATCATCAACATCATCATCATCATCAGCATCATCATCATCATCACCAGTATCAGTATTAGAATCAGGATCTCATCGCCATCATCATCAGCATCATCATCATCACCCTCATCATCATCATCATCGTCAGCATCATCATCATCATTGTCATCCTCATCCGCACCCTCATCCTCATCCTCCTCCTCATCCTCCTCCTCATCAGCATCATCACCAGCACTGTCACCGTCACCATCATCAGCAGCAGCATCATCAGCAGCATCTTCAGATTCACCATCATCAGCACCAGTATCATCAGCATCAGCATCATCATCAGCATCCACATCATCACTATACTCATCATCAGTATCAGCATCATCACGATGACTAGCATCAGCATCATCAGCATCAGCAAGAGGATCATCATCACAATCAGCATCATGATCATCAGCATCAGCATCAGCATCATAATCGTTAACACCATCATCAGCATTGTCACCAGCATCATCATCGTCATCATCAGCATCATCATACGTATCCTCATCCTCATTCCCATCCTTATCCTCATTTTCCTCCTCACGACCACCATCATCATCGTCATAAGCATCATCACCATCATCACCACTACCATCATCATCCTCAGCATCATGATCAGCATCATCAGCATCATCATGAACCGAATCATCATCATCATCATCATCATCATCATCATCAGCATCATCATCATCATCATCATCAGCATCATCACCATCATCATCATCATAATCAGCATCAGCATCAGCATCGACATCAGCATCACCAGCATCATCTTCATCATCATCGTCGTCGTCGGCATCCTCATCCTTATCCTCATATTCATCGTTATCAGCATCAGCTTCATCGTCATCATCAGCAGTAGCAGCATTAGCATCAGCATCAGCATCCTCATCATCATCAGCAGCATCATTAACTTACTCATCGTCCTCATCCTCATCCTCCTCCTCAGCATCATCATAATCATCCTCATCCTCCCGATCATCTAGAAGTTCGCCTGCCTGTCTCATCATCCCCCTCAGATTCCCCCCCTCGTCATCCCCCCTCGACTTCATCGCCGTACAGAGAGGCTGCAAAGAACCCAGGGGGTGTATCGACATTACAAGGGCTTGCAAACAAAAACAAGACAGGCTCGTGTGGGCCCCGCCTGAGCTACGCACGGCGAGCATAGATCGAGCGTAGCCATGTATAAGCAGTGGAAGCCAATGACTTGGAGCCCTGTCTGCCTGCTCCTCCTGAGATTCAGCCACGTCATCGTCAAGTGCGATATTCGCTTCGCCATTGGCGCAACAACGGTTACGTCACAGGCCATAATTGCTCCATAGGTTGTGCCATCGGTTGTACCATACATTGCATATGGGCTGCGACATAGCTTGCGCATCAGGATGCTCCACTGTTTGCATCAGAAGCTGAACCGTATCTTGGATCATGGGCTGTATCATGGGTCATGGGTTGCGGCATTGGTTGCGCCATAGGCTGTACCATGGGGTGTGTCATAAGGTGGGCTATGGCGTGCGTTGGGCCTGCGCCATGGGTTGCACTGAACGTCGCGCCACAGGTGCAGCATGTATTGTGCCACAGCTTGCACATAGGTTGCGCTGTACGCTGCACCATATGTGGATCATAGGCCGTGCCAATGGTGCGACGATGGTTGAGCCATTGATCGCGCCATGGCTTGCGCCTTCGGCCACAGAAGCGCAACACGCTCCCGCAACGCTACGGTGAGGGCGTTGGATAAGGAGCCACTGGGTAAGGAACCCAGGGTCTGGAAGACAGTGGAACACCAACTGCGGCTTGGCCGTGGATATCACCGCCGCCCTCTCCAGATAGGGAATCCTCCAGGGTCTGAAGCATCCTGGGCACAGTCATTAAGAAACGCCCCCCACCGTATTGGTTGCGTCGTCAGGTCCGCAACCGGACGCCGAAAAAAACAGCACGCCTGCCGACGGGAAAGAGCACTCCAGAGCAGTAAGTTTGCGAGTCAGTCAAACTGGCCAATCAGGCAAATCCAGGCGACGTCCGAAATCATTTGCAGTCGTCGGCCCAAAAAGTCGGGGTCGTCGGGGCGCGCGCTCGAACAACAGCTCAGGATCAGCTCTAGAACAAATGGTTAGGAAGTTGAGGTGGGCCCTTCGAGGCTCGCCATCATTCCATCATTCATTGGAACGGTCCCCCTGGAATGCTCCCCTCCCCCTTTCCCCCTTTCCCCCTTTCCCCCTTTCCCCCCTTCCCCCATCCTCCCCCTCCCCCTCCCCCTCCTCCCCAACATCCTGCACCTACGCCCCCATCCCTCCCCGCGCGCGCTCCCACGCGCTCGCGGCAGGGGGGAGGACTACGACGACGACGACGACGACGACAACATCAACAATAACAAAAACAAGCACAACAACAACAACAACAACAACAACAACAACAGCAACAACAACAACAACAGCAACACAATAAGAACAACAACAACAACAACAACAGCAACAACAACAATAAGAAGAAGAAGAACAACAACAACCTCAACAACAACAACAACAACAACAACAACAACAAGAACAATACTGACGACGACGACTACGACGTCGACGGAACACGGACGATGGCGGCGGCGTGGGCGTTGGTGGCGACCCCCGAGACTCCCCCTCGTGGAGGGGCGCCTCCAGCATCTGGAGCTGCTGCTCCTTCCTGGTCCTGGGGTCGGCCTCGGGCGCGGCGGCCGGGAGCGGGAGCGGCGGCCGCGAGGCCGCGGCGGGGAGGGGTAGGGAGCCCACAAAGGACGTACGCGCCCAGCTATGTACATGAACACGGCCCCTCGATTCGCGAGACCGGCCGCGTTATACGAACATTTGTGCAATGCGTGCTCTCGAAACCAACGTGGATTCATGTACATGTACGTCCTTCTTTCGCTCCTGAAGGGGGGCGGGGAGAGTCTTGCCACATGCTTCGAGCAGGGGATCGACTGCAGAATTGATTTACCCCCGAAAGCGGTTCTCTCGTCAGAGCCATGCCAGAAATACGTGGGATCGTCAGGAGGTCTGCGGAGCATTGCAGGCACGTTTCGTAGATTCGACGGGGAATTAATTTTGGGGTAAATCGATCCTATCTTTCGGCGGCGAGCGAGGGGGAGAAGTGAGAACAAGGAGGCCATTTCACAACGCGGCGGGGCTTCTCAGAAGCCCTCCAGCCTTCTTCGAGGTCTTCTTTGTCTCCTGGGAGGCCGGAGGACTTCCGAGCCTTCTGAAAAGATCCGCCCCCTCTCGCTTCCCCCCGGGCGCGCCGCAGAATCGTGGTGACGGACGTGCTGGCCTTCTGTATTTTGAGCCGTGCCACCTCTGCTCACACAGTATCTGGTACGGGTAATACGCGTTGGGCAGCTTAGCTTGCACATGTACTGCTTGGAATTCAAAACCAGTTTGCCCGACGTGAATAGCACCTGGTGGCCTGGATCACCAAGCCTCCTCAAAGTCGGCGATGTGCACGTGATGGAAATGATTCATACCTACCCCGCGTGATACCGCAATTGCAGCGGGTGGTGGAGCGTTCAGCGCTTTGTGGGACATAATTTCACGGTTCAGCCCAGTGTGTTTCAGCTGCTCACTGGCCCAAGTTGTGGGTGGCTTCAAGTCTAGCCTGGTGTCTCCTCCTTCCTCTCCTCCCCCTCTTCCTCCTCCCCCTCTTCCTCCTCCCCCTCCTCCTCCTCCTCCTCCCCCTCCTCCTCCTCCTCCTCCTCCCCCTCCTCCTCCTCCTCCTCCTCCTCCTCCTCCTCCTCTTCCTCCCATCATCCATCATCATCATCATCATCATCATCATCATCATCATCATCATCATCATCATCAGCATCATCATCATCATCATCATCATCATCATCATCATGATCATCATCATAATCATCATCACCATCATCATTACCACCACCACCAACATCATCATCATCAGCATCATCAGCATCATCAGCATCATCATCAGCAGCATCATCAGTATCATCGCCATCGTCAGCATCACCATCATCATCATCATCATCATCATCAGCAGCATCATCAGCATCATCATCATCGTCAGCAGCATCACCATCAGCACCATCACCATCAGCATCATCATCATCATCATCGTCATCAGCATCACCACCATCATCATCATCATCAGCATCATCATCATCACCATCACCATCACCATCATCATCATCATCATCATCATCATCATCATCATTGGTGTCACCATCACCACCACCAGCATCATCATCAGCATCATCAGCATCAGCATCATTATCATGAGCATACTCACCATCATGATCACCAACATCAACATCAACATCATCATCATCATCATTAGCATCGTCCTCATTATCATCAGCATCAGCGTCATCATCAGCATCATCAGCATCATCATCAGCATCATCATCACTAACATCGTCCTCATCATCATCATCAGCATCATCAGCAGCATCATCGTCATCGTCAAACGCATAATCATCATTATCATCATCATCATCAGCAGCAGCACCAACATCATCATCAGCATCATATGCATCGACTGTATCACCATCATACTCATCATCAACATCATCATCATCAGCAGCATGATCATTATTACCAGCATCATTATCAGCATCATCATCGTCCTCCACATCATCATGACCATCACCATCACCATCATCATCGCCATCTTCAACACCGTCATCATCGTCACAATCGTCATCATCGCCATCATCGTCATCACCATCATCACCGTCACCATCCTCATCATTAACACCATCTTCAACAACAAGACCGCCACCAGCATCATCGCCGTCAGCATCAACACCACCACCACCACCATCACCATCACCATCTTCATCATCACCATCACCATCGTCACCATCATCATCATCATCACCATCATCATCATCATCATCGTCATCATCATCATCATCAGCAGCATCATCATCATCATCATCATCATCTTCATCCTCATCATCATCATCATCAGCATCATCATCGTCATCGTAATCGTCATTCCCATCATCGTCATCGTCATTGTCGTCGTCGCCATCGTCGTCGCCGTCGTCATCATCACCACTCAACACCACCACAACCATCCTCATCACTAAGTATCACCATGCCCTTCCTTGTCGTCGTCGTCGACCTCATCCTTCTCCTCCCCCTCCTCCTCATCCAGCTCCCTCTCATACCTCGCCCACGTTCTTCTGCTGCTGCCCCTCCGCCCCCGACCCCCTCTGCCGCGAGGACGGCCCCGCCTCCTTGCGAGCCGTGCTGGCGATGTCCGACATGACCGTCTTCAGCTCCTCGTCCATCTCCTCTCTGGCGCCGACAGACTCACAGGGCCGCGCGCGTCGTGAAAAAATGCGTACAACAAAATAACGCCACAAGGCTGCTGTTCATTGTCGGCCTCCCTCGTGGCCCCCCCTCGTGGCCCCCCATCGTGGCCCCCGATCGTGACCGCCCATCGTGACCGCCCATCGTGACCGCCATCGTACAGTGGAGGCCAGTCCACAAGACACCTTCCACAAGAAACCCAAACCTGAGACCCCAGGCCGTGTCCATTGATCCTCGTGTGAGAACGTCACGCTTTCCATAGCAAAGCCATCGAAACCCAAGAAACCCAGGTCACCCTGGAGGCAAGCAGGGTAGTTCTTGGCATGGATCCCCACTGTGCTTGTGCACAGCTGGTCAGGGTCTTCTTCCGCGACGGTGCCATTGGGTGTTTGCTTCCCGGCGGGCCAGCGGGGAACAGAGGACGACAGCTCGACGAAGTCCACAAAGGGAGCAGCCAGGGCGAGGAAGGGCTCGAGCGCGGAGCGGAGCACGGGACAGACCGGGAGAAGGGAGACAGGCCTGGCGACTGAGCGGAGTCTGGTCGGGAGCGGCCGGCTCGTTCGCGCGCTCACCGAAATCGGGGTCGTCTGGTGCGGAGCCCCAGGCGTGGTCACCATCTTCGTCCGCCCTCCCCGCGCGGTCATGCCGCTCAGCCAGGGCGAGGGGCACCGCAAGGCAGGGGGGGGACCGGCTCAGGGGGTGAGCATCGACCTGGAATCGGCGATACCTCGCCGATAGATCGGCGATAGGCCCCCGACAGTGAATCCGCACGTTCCTGGGCGGGGCGGGCTACGGGGCCCCTGTAGACGATGAACGAACGATTGGGGGGTCATGAGCATGTCCACCCTGTGACGTTGCCCCTGACACAGAGGCGGCGGGAGGAAAGCGAGGGTCGCTCCCCTATGCAGGACACCTCGTCCTCTTCGGCAGCGCTGACGTCCCCAGTGGCTGCCGCGCAGACGAGGTGACCCTGACCAGCTCTCGCACCGGGCGCCCAGTCCGAGGCCGAGCTGCGCTGCGCACGGCGACTCTCGCTGCTAACTCGAGGCTGCGGGTGCTCCAGCGAGCGAGATGGAACTGCTGTGGCGGGCGGCGAATGACGACCTCGCCGACTGCGTGGGGATGTCCCGCTGGAGCTCCGGGAAGACCATCCCCCCACCCACCTGGCGCCCAGGCAGGGCAGAGGCACGAAAAGTGCAGGCCACGAAGCCGCAATCTGCGTAGCGGCGCTTCGGCCTTCGGCTTCATGCCGCGCACCTCTTGGAGCGAGCATGGCTCCTGGGTGGCGACCTCGCTCGTGTAGTTGAGTTGTTGTCCACCAGTTCCAGCTCGTCACTACAGACTGCAACTCGACCTACACCGCCTCCTCGCTATCGTTTCCCAAACCGTTCTGGCGGCTTCCTCGCCATCGCTTCCTCCGCGGTCGCTGAACAGGATGCCCGCTGAGTCGCCCTCAAGCCCTGACAGGTCCGCACCGATTCTGCTGCAGCTGCGGAGCCCTCTTCTGCCGAAACCTCCGCGACGGGCTCCGTCAAATTGCCCGCGAGCACCGCTGGGTCGGGCGGAACCAGAGGCGAGGGGCTTAGTCGACCCCGCCGAGGGCAAGCAGAGCAGCCTTCCCTCCGCCCGGGCCAGTGGGGGATCTGCATTCCTATCACGTCGTGCGGCCTGTGCGGAGCCGGCCTTGCGCTCAACTCTCGGCGGCACCCACAAGGGCGTGGCGCGAGGGGGGTGGTTATACACATATAGAAATAAATACATATGTATAACATGCGTATGTATGTGTACATATATATGTATACGTGTGTAGATTATACCTAGTTATATCCATATACATATGTATGTATGTGTGTAGGTGCGCATACATATATAGAGACATATAGACAATATCCGCCGGCCCCCTTTGTGGGGCCACCAGGCTGTAGGCCCGTGATTCGCAGTTTCCTGTACCAGTCGTAGGTTGTAGTTTCCAGTGTTACAGTTCTGCTTCTTGCTGGTTACTGTAACTAGTTGACTTATTGCTGGTTACTGTAACTAGTTGATTGACCGCGCGAGGGGGGGGAGGCCCAAAGTGGCTTTTTAGCGTCCCCTGGGCGCGTTGTCTGAATTGCTGGGGGGGCTCGAAATCACCACCCCTCACGCAGATCCGCGGGGTCAGGGTCCAAAAACACATGGGATTTGCCACATTTCTGAAACTCGGTGCCACCCCTCACGCAGATCCGCGGGGTCAGGGTCCAAAAACACATGAGAGTTGCCACATTTCTGAAATTCGGTGCCACCCCTCACGCAGATCCGCGGGGTCAGGGTCCAAAAACACATGGGATTTGCCACATTTCTGAAATTCGGTGCCACCCCTCACGCAGATCCGCGGGGTCAGGGTCCAAAAACACATGGGATTTGCCACATTTCTGAAATTCGGTGCCACCCCTCACGCAGATCCGCGGGGTCAGGGTCCAAAAACACAGGGGATTTGCCACATTTCTGAAATTCGGTGCCACCCCTCACGCAGATCCGCGGGGTCAGGGTCCAAAAACACAGGGGATTTGCCACATTTCTGAAATTCGGTGCCACCCTTCACGCACATCCATCGCAAGGCGTGGTAACCCAAACTGCGAGAACTCCCTCGGCCCTTTAATCGCAAGGTGTGGTAACCAAGCCCGTAAACCATACACGTCTTACCAATCGCAAGGTGTGGTAACCCCTCTTGTGATCAGTTGTTTTTGCTGATTGCGAATCGGCTTCGCATGAAGATTCGATACTGCTTCACGACAGCGCCAAGGCCTCATGACTTAGCTCTTCCATGGCCCATTCTCCGAGAGAGGGGGCCGGCGGCAGGGGGCGAAGCCCTTAACATATCTGTGGATTTAAACATAGACATGTGTGTGCGTGTGTGTCTTAACTGTGTTTACATTGGGGGGGGTCAGAGAAGGAGGGGGGGGCTTCTTAGAAGGCAGAAGGGCCTTTTTCGAAGAGCCTGGGGGCCCCAAGGAGGCCTCTGAAAAGCCTGCGGGCCCTCCTGCGAAGGCCCCTACCTTCTGAGAACCCCCCCCTGCGATCCCTCAACGGGCGAAGCATTGTATAACATAAACTGTTCCGTCGCGGGGGGGCGCCTGCCCCAAGGCGGCTGGAAAATTTAGACCCTGCCGCGCCACCGTTGGGGCATGAACTTCCCAGCCGCCCTTGGACACGCGTCCCCGACGGCGAACAAACATGTAGTTTATACGCGCCGGTCGGGAGAACTAGGTACACAACAACAAAAACAAGCAAACCAAAACAACAGATAACAAAAAGCATGACGTAGGAAGGCGTTGGAAGCACACGCCCCCTGAAGAGGAGGGAAGAAGGAAACCACTCACTCGATCTTTCAAGTAGGAAGGCAACAAAATTTGATTCGGATTTGGGGATCCAAAAATATTTGCTCTCAACGACCGGCGTGTACCGCTCGTCGCCGCCCCCCCCCCGCATTCCAAAAGGCCGCTCCCGTCGCGCCGCTCCCGTGCGGGCGGCGCCAGGGGCCGGGTCGGGCCAGGCTCTCGGGTCGGAGACGCCCCACCAGACCCCCGACGCCATGATTATTCTTAGGAGGCCACATGCGAACCCGACCCCACTACCCCACGATTCCTCGGGGGGGGGGGTAGGGTCCACTTCGCTCGGGGGGTCCCGAACGAAGTGAACCAACCCCACCTCCCCCCTTAGAAATCGTGGGGGGGCGGGGTAGGTTTCGACCGTGGTCTCCGATCGACCCCTTCCCCAGGCTTGGCTCGTCGTCCCGTACGGACGGTCACGGAGCCGGGACAGGGCCCCCCCCCCCCGGGGCGGAGAACGGCGGAAGACCCTCCGCCGTGCTCTCCTCTCGGCCCGAGGGGGGTGGGGCCCGGGCCCCGCGGCCCCCCTCCGCAGCGGAACCCCGCCGGGTCCCGCGGACCGCGCGGCAGCGTCGGTCGCGGCCAAAGGCGGCTACCGGGCGCCGTCCCTGCCCGCCGCCATCGGTGGAGCTCCGCGGGGCCCGGCTGGTGAAGTGGCGCCGTCGGCGGTGGCCTCGCGCTGGCCCGCTTCAGGGTCGGCGCCGAGACGGGCTGAGCGGCGGGGGGGGGGCGTCGTGGGTCTGCGTCCCCGTCCGCCTCCGGCGCGCCAGCCCGCAGGGGCGCCCAAGAGGGGCCCTGCAGGGCGGCAGCGCAGCGCAGGCCATGGGCCTACACGCTGCCCCCTGGCGAGAACCTGGTGGCGCTGAGGTTCACCACGCGGGTTGCATGAGTTGTTTCTTCTTGGTTCATTCGTTGTTTCTCCTGTTTTCCTTCGTTGTCGTCGCGCGCGCAAGGAATCCTGAATCGCAAACCAGCGGAGATAGAACGCCCCCACCGCTTGATTCATGAGAACAATATCCAGCGGCGCGCCCGTCCGGCGCTTCCCCAACGGTGCGCCCGTCCGTCAGACGGGGTTTGGACGAGTATCGATCAGTTCCAAAGCGTTTTGGACTGCTCTCAGAGCGTTCCAGGGCGCTCCGAAAAGGCCGCGGCGCCTGAGACATCCTCCAGCCCCGCCGGATCCCAGAGATTCACTTCAGCCTCGCCCGATACTCGCCTCCTCCTGGCTTCGTGTCAGTCCGGGCCTCCCCGGGGCGGCGCGCCCGTCCACGTGGCCCCCGGAGCCCACGCGGACCCGCGCCGCGCGCAGCTGGCGCGACGCCGTGCGCGCCGCGGGCGCGGGGGGCGGGCGCCGCCAGCCCCGGGAGGCGCCCGCAGGCGCAGGCGCAAGCCCATTTGCCACTCGCGCTCGCGGCCACCTTTCGTGAACGAGCCGGGACGGAGGGGCTCAGCGCCGCTGGCGTCGGCACGCGCAGCGGGCCCGCGGCGGCCGTCGCGCGGAGCGGACGGCGGCGCGGGCCCAGCGACACACGGCCTGATCCAGAGCGGCTACTTGAGCCAGCATGGCTACAAACGGTGGGGGTGTTGAATCAGGAGCCATTGGATGAGGAACCGGGGGTCTAGAAGCCAGTGGAGCTCCAATCGTAGATTAGCCATGGATGCCACCGCCGCCCTCATCAGGTAAACCATCCTCCGGGTCTGACACCTCCTGTGCTAACATTCCTAAACCAACGCCCCCAACCGTAAATGTCTGGAAATCCGTTGCCCTTCATGAGGCCTATCTCCCAGCCGCGCCACAGAGTCACAGCCACCCAGGTGTGCACAGCACGCCTGAGAAAACGAATCGCCCAGCGAGGGGAATGTTTCAGTGGAACTACAAGCGGTCGCACCGGGAACCGGGCAGCAGGTCAAATAAAATGCCACCAAGACCTGAAAAGGAGGGAGGAGGAGGAGGAGGAGGCGGATGAGAACGTCAAAACACCAGGGGCATCGTTCAAGTCAACCTGCCATAGACGAGCCGTCGCGCGCATCCAGGCTCCTGGGATACTGGCAAACATGCAGAGGAGCATACCAGAGGCCAAGCTCCGTGAGCGACCACGCAAGCGTAGAGCCCCAGCGAATACTACAAGAGAGGAGGAAGAGGAGGAGGAGGAGGAGAAGGAGGAGGACCAGTGTAAACCCATGACTCCTCAACGATGTTGTGATATACCCTCATTCGAAGCTCCAAGCTCTTCATAGGCCCCATACCAGTTTTCACTTCAACTGACGAACGTGCTGCGCTGGGAGACAGTTTTGTGAAACATCGTATGACTTCAACACCACGAGTCAACCTGACTGCTGCGTTTTGACTACCCTGAATCGCTCCAGAACGCCATTCCTGAGACTTCAACACTGCGAATCAGCGTAACTGTTGCGCCCTGACAGCCCTGAACCGTTCGGAACCATGACAACCCGCGAAGCGGTTGCAAAGTTTTGAGACGAATGTGCGCGGCGGTCATGCGAGAACAAATGTTTAAAAGGAACCACCCTCAACCCGTGAAGCTCTGACACATGTTTGAATCGAATGTGCGCGGCGCCAAAGCGAAAGCCGCAAATTGAAAACGGCACACCCTGAATCCGTTAAACTCTTTCAAGTGCTGAAAACGAACAGGCGCAGCGCTGAAGCAAGAACCACATTTAGAAAGTCACCCACTCTCAACCCGTCAAGCTTCTGAGACGTATGTACGCGGCGCTGAGGCGAGAACCACGTGTTGAAGACGGCCCGCCCCCAATCCGAGAAACCCATGCAAAGTTTAAGACGAATGCGCGTGGCGCGAAGGCGAGAGTTACATGTTGAAAACCATCCGCCCTCCAATTGTGAAGCTGTTGCCAGCTTCTAAGCTTCAGGCTCATAAGTGGCAAAGGAGTCTCAGGCGAAACGTCTGGCCCGCCCTTTCGACCCGCCCGGGCGTGCGCCAAGGAGTACTTATTCACAAGGAAAGGGCATGGAGGGCGGAGGAGGAGGAGGAGGAGGAGGAGGAGGAGGAGGAGGAGGAGGAGGAGGAGGAGGAGGGAGGAGGAGGAGGAGGAGGAGGAGAGAGAGGAGAGAGAGGAGGAGGAGGAGGGAGGAGGAGGAGAGGAGGAGGAGGAGGAGGAGGAGGAGGAGGAGGAGGAGGAGGAGGAGAAGGAGGAGGAGGAGGAGGAGGAGGAGGGAGGAGTGCGGGTACCCTGGGGGACGCGGGTCAGTTCCGATGCGCGCCACCGAACACAGGCACAGGCGACGAGCGAGAACTGGGGGGCAAATACTGTGTGAACAGCCCTGCCCTCCACCTGCTCCCGTGCTGTTCATCCCTTTTCCCAGCCCGCTATCGAGTTAGCGCGTGACCAGGGCACGGCCGGCAGACAGCGCTGCAGCGACAGCGCTCAGCGCGCGGGACGATGCCGTCCGCAGTTTATTGTACATGTGGAAGGCCAGCGTGACACGGCGAATGGTCTCGCGCAAAGCCCACTTGCTGGGCGCACGCGGATATGCAGCAGCGGGGCCCAAGCCCGAGTACATGAAAGTATTGAGAAGTGGAGGGGGGTCAGGGGACCAGAGGAGGCTCAAGAGGCGAGGACAGGAGAGGTAGTGGGGGAATGAGTATGGCTGGTCAGGGCCGCCGAACAGACAACTGCGCGGCTCAAGCACGTGTATGCGAGCGGAGGTCGCCCATCCTGCGGCCAGTGTTTTGAAGGTCGCCCGGCGCCAACTCGGTCGGACGGCGCGGAGCTCAGCGGAGAGCGACGCCCAACGCTCTGCGAGGCGATCGGGATCGATTTGGACCCCCCACGACATGATGCGTTTCGTGAGGGTGCCACGAAGCGGGGAGGCAAATGCAGACTGGCGAAGCGAAGCTGCAAACGCGCGCTGGAAGCGAGGACGGCGCGGGGGTTCCGCGGAGCAGGCAGCCTCCTTCTCCTCCAGCCAGCGCGGCTGCGTGGGCAGCGCGCAACATCACCGGCGTGAAAATGGCGGAGCCCTTGGCATCGCGGAGCTGGGCATAGAACTGCACGATCGCCTAAGGCTGCACCCAGAAGCTCGGAGACCACGAGCCTTCCGTCCAGCGATGGAAGGTGTGAGCCGTGCTTTCGCCCCACGCGGCTTCGCGGAGCCAATTGGAATGGGGTTCCCACATGCCTGACAGAGTGTGAGACGCGGAACGGGCAGCGGCGGCAACCGACATCACCTGCAGCGAACGCGGGACTGGCGGCGGCGCCCAGTCCGCAAGCGCAAGGAGGTCGACCTTGCACAAGTATTTTTAGGCGGCAGACTGAGCATATTGTGGAAAACGTAGTGCTCGCGGTGAGCGGTGGAAGCAGGCGCAGGGAAGAGCTGGAGGAATGTCCCGGGGTATTTGGCACGCCCCGCAATTGAAAACCCGCGCCACAACGGCGAAAAATCGGAAAGCAGGGCCTGAGTTTGGGCTATGGTGGCAGGAGGCAGAGGCGCCCAGAGAGGGACTACAACACACTTGCGCGGCTGCAATAGCAGCAAAGCAAGGCGAGCTGCGGCGTCAAAGGGCTCAGTCACTCTGCCCACGAGGCCGAAGGAGCCGCACAGGATGCCCAGGTCGTCCGCACAAGCGCCCGGGTCGTTGGAGCACGGGTCTTTGCCAAGACTCGCCGTCTCATTGGCCTGCGCGAGGTGGCGGATGACCGGGTCCATCGCGATCGCCCATGCAGATCCGCTCGCTGAGCAGCCCTGGGCGACTCCAGATTCGATCGCGAACATGGCGTGGCGCACGCCGTCAACCTTGACCGAGGAGCTGGGTGCGTAGTACATGGCCTCGAGGAGATTCATGTGGCCGTCTGGCAGGCCGAAGCGGTGCAGCGCCTTGATCAACCACGTTCCGCCAAGCAACGGAAAGGCCGCCGCGAAGCCGAAGCTGACGAAGACGGGGTGGAGCCCCGCAGCGTTCTCGAAGAGGCCGACGCGGCGCATCTCGGCGTCCAGGCGCACGATGTGCTGGGTGAAGTTCCTGCCCGTGACGAAGCCCTGCTGGGCCGTGTGCGTGCGCTCGGCGACGTACTGCTTGATCATGTAGTTGTCAGCTCCTGCGATGGTTTTGATGTCGGTGCTCTTCAGCGGGAGCGGACGTGTGTCTTCAGGAAGCCGGTCTGTGGCGATCTCGCCCAAGAGGTCGTCACCCTTCGGCAGGAAGGCGACGTCCGAGTCGTTCAGGTCACGCGGGATCGAGTTGCCCGAGCAGGGGTAGCTGGCCAGGTCCTAAAGGATGTCCAGGGAGTGGTCGTGGCCTGTCCAGGCGCTGTACGGTAAGCAGTCGGGCCCAACAGCCGATGGAGACGCACGCTTCAGAAAGGCCTGCAGCGGGCACTCGGAGGGCGGCTTGACGTCCAGCGTGCTGCCTGCCCTGCGGCATGTGCTCGTCGATGTACGCGTGCACGGCGTTGGTGTCGACCGTCTTGTGGGCGAAGAGGGGGCGCCAGTGGGTGCGCAAGGCGTCGACCATTGCGCCGCTCTCTCTGGTGGTGGCAGCGGGGCCTTCGAGGCCTGTGATGTTGATCCCTTGGAGGGCGAGTCGACGCTTCCGTGGGGCCCAGGGAGGAGGGAGGTGGAGGAGAACGAGGAGGTGGAGGAGGAGAAAGAGGAGGAGGAGGAGGTGGAGGAGGAAGAGGAGGAGGAGGAGAAGACCCGTGGACGCAGATCGGGGGGCCGCCCCCACTCGCAGCAGCAGCGCGGCGGAGGGAGGAGGCAGTGGGGGAGGGGGGAGGAACGAGCAGAAGAGCAGGGAGAAATAGAGGGAGAGAGAGAGAGGGGAGAGAGAGAGGGGGCGGGAGAAGGGTCATGATGGGGGGCGCGCAGGAGGGGAAGAGGAGGGAGGCGGCAGGGTGGAGGGAGGCAGCAGAACATCCTTTTCCTCGCACTCATCTCTTCCTCCTCCCCCTCTTGCTGCTGCTGCTGCTGCTGCTGCTCCTCCTCCTCCTTATCCTCCTCCTCATCGTCCTACCCCCCTTTGAAATATGGGTCCTCGCTCGCCTTCGCCGCCTTGTCAAGCCAGGCGCGGTTGGCCTCAAGACAAGGGCCCGGGTGAGGAGAGGAGGACGAGGAGACTGAAAAGGAGTAATTGAAGGGAGAGGGAAAATAACGATGGTAACGTTGATGCTGAGTATGGCTGTGGCGATGATTCTTAGGACGATGACGATGGCGGCCACGATGGTCATGATGCTGCTGCTGCTGATGATAATGATGATGATGATGGTGATAGTGATGGTGATGGCGGTGGTGATGATGATTATGATGATGATGTTGAGGATGGTGATGATGATAAGGATGATAATGGTGATAATGAAGATCATGATGAAACTGAAGATAAAGATGATAATGACGATAACGGTGATAATGATGATACTGGTGATAATTATGCTACATATGATCATGATGATACTTATGATGATCATGATGGTGATGATGATGATGATGATGTTGATGATGCTAGTGATGCTGATGATGGTGATGATGATGATGATGATGATGCAGGCGATGATGATGATGATGATGCTGATGATGATGATGATGATGATGATGGCAATGGTGATCATGATGATGATGACGTTGATGATGATGCTGCTGGTGATGATGATGATGTTGATGGTGATGGTGGTGGTGATGATGATGATGATGATGATGATGATGATGATGATGATGATGATGACGACGTTGCCGACGCTAGTCCTGACGAACAGGATGACGATGGTGTTGGGTTGTGTTCTACATGTGTGCATTGGTGGCGAGACGAGTGCTGCAAGCCCGCACACTTCGCACATACCCCTCGAGGCCTGGGCAGCGTGCGGCCGTGCATCTTGAGAGAGCGGTCGGGAGCACACAAATAAATCCAGGCAAGGCGGGTCACATTGCGGGTCCCCCGGGTACCGACACGGAGTGCATTCTGCCACAAACGCGCGCGCACAAGAGCCGCTGAGCTGCAGTGTGGGATGGCAACTGGGAGAAAAAACGAGGTGACTTCGTGTAAGGCAAATACCCCGCTACTTCTCGATGACGACGACGACGTCCAGGATCGGGCCAAAAGACCCCGATGTGTTCAGCATCGCCCAAGGCGCTGCTGCGTGACGGGCTCCCCTGGGCATTGCTCACGCGCTGTGGCCCGCGCAAGGCTTCTGAACTGGACTGGACATCCTGCATCAGGGAGCACGTGCCTGAGAATCAGCCTCGAAACTGCAGAATATGCAACACATCGCAGTGTAACGCAATCCATATGTCGAAAAAGGCGATGAATGTGCCCCTCTTGCAGCAGCGTGCTCAATGCAGAAGATGCAATAAAAACCCCACCGGATCGTTGGACGAAGAACTGCAACTGAACCCGAGCAATACGCCAGATCACGCTTGCGACACCACCGATTCGGACAACAGGAAAGAACTTGGCGGCTACTACACTCCATAGATCACTCAGTCATAGCCACGGAGGTATCACCTACCAGGACAGCGCTCGCGGAACATCTACCCGAGAGGTACAGGTGATGCAACTACCAAAGCCAGTGGAATGGACAGAGCGGGCCACCGCCTGCTGGGGGCGATAAGGCGCGTGAGGTGCTTGGCTGCCTCCCCCCCCCGTTCCCCCTCCCCCGGAATCCAAGCCTCCGTCTGAGAAGGTAGGGAGGGAGAGCGATATGGGTGCATCTGCTCAGGAGGAGGACCATCGACCTGGAATCGGCGACACATCGCCGCTGGACCCGCGACAGGCTCTCGACCGCGACGCCGCACGGTCCTGGGCGAGCCGGGCTATCGGGCTCCTGTCGGCGATCCGTGGGCGACTGGGGATCCATGCGCTCCACGCTGAGCCTATCCCCGCCCAGACGTTGCCCGACGACGACGACGACGACGACGACGACGACGACGACGACGACGACGACGACGACGGCGACGGCGACGGCGACGGCGACGGCGACGGCGACGGCGACGGCGACGGCGAAAGCGACGGCGACGGCGACGACGACGGCGATGACCGCGGGGGCGCCGAGGGATGGCGAGCTCCTCAGCGCACCGCCGGGCCCAAAGCAGCAAACGCTGGACACCAGAGGCCCCCCAGAGAGCCGAAGGTGGCTCCAGCGTGGCCCGAGATAGCTCGAGATGGGCTCGAGGACTGCCCCCAGGAGGGCTCAATACGGCCTCCACGATTGCCATAATTGGCTTCAAGACGGCTCCCCGATGACCATGGAGCCTCTCAGCGAGGGCACCACGAAGCCGAACGACTGGCAAGAATGTTGAAGAGATTTACGAATTGGGCATTCTCGCCTGTTGTCCCTCCGATGGGCCCCTCGAGACATCGAGAGGGTCCCGGAGTGGTCTGAGAGCCGACAAAGGAAGCCCCACGGGTCCCCCAAAGGAGCCTCAACTGGCCCCAAGGAGGGCTCCGAGAGAGCTCTGAGAAGGACCCCGCAGGCCACCGGGAGGCTACCAGGCACCCCCGAGGGGCCCCGAGAGGACACGGGCAACACAGCGGGGGAATTAGCAAAAGCACCCCCCCCAGACGCAGAGGAACAAAATACGGCGCAAACCCAACTCCTCGGAGGCCCGCGCGGATGTCTCGTCTTTGATCGGCGCTGGGCCCCGCTCCCTGGCGCGAGGAGCGCGCCGGAGGCGGCGCCGGAGGCGCCGCCAGGGGGTGGGCCCAACACCTGGCCATCGCTCGGGCGTGCATGCCCCGAGCATGTTGCGATGTCGTGCGTCTTTTTTTCACACAAGATGGCCCAAGAGGCGCCCCTCCGTGGTCCTCGCGCCGAGCACAAGGGCACACGTCCGAGCAGGCCGAGGCACCAGGCAGCGGCGCGCAGCGCGCGGGCGCCCTGGGGCGCGTGCGGGCCAGGACGTCGAGGCGCATCCCGCGGTGGCGACGAGGGCCTCCCAGGAGGCCGAACCGAAGGGAGCACGAGGGCCAGGGTGCAGTAATCAGGGGCTCGGCCACGGGAAGCCTTCCACAGGGAGACCCAACCCGGAGACCCCAGGACATCCATGGAGTTTTGGTGTGAGAACGTCTGAGCTGCGGAGCAGGCACGCGACGGAGCCCGGACAAAAAGTGTCCACGCCGACGGCGCGAAGACAATCAGGCATGATGGCATCGACAATTGCAATATACATGTGGCTCGCCCCCCCTCACCCCCAAACCCAAAGTTGACGTATCCATATGTTGTCCCCCGCGCGCTGCCTGGCACCCAACCCCGTCAACTTTGGGTTTGGGGGGACGGGGGCTATGGATATTTGTTCGACGCAATTCGATGCCGTATCGTGGCGCGATGGGTGTGGACACTTTTTGGGGGGAACGAAAATGACATAAACATAAAAACTCGGAGGTCCGCGCGGATTTCTCAGATCGGCGCTGGGCCCTTCTGGCGGCGCCTCCGGCGCCGCCCCTGGCGCACTCCGCGCGCCAGGGAGGGGGGTCCAGCGCCGATCCGAGAAATCCGCGCGGACCTCCGAGTTTGTACATATGTTTATGTCATTGTTCGCTCCCCGACGCATGTCTACGATGTCAAGAAGCGCCTGCAGGTACAAAACAGGCGAAATCAAGAGCGGCCATGACCATCACTAGAAGAAGAAAAAACGCCATAAAAATAAACTTTTGGCGCTCCGCGCGGATTTCTTGCATCCGCGCTGGACCCCCATCCCTGGCGTGCGGAGCGCGCCGGAAGCGGCGCCAGAGGCGCCGCCGGGGGGGCCCAGCGCGGATCCAAGAAACCCGCGCGGAGCGCCTAAAGTTTATGTTTATGGCGTTCTTCTTCGAAAGAAACGGATGCAGGTGCACATCAGGCGAAGTCAAGAGCGGCCATGGCCGTCGTGCTTCGTGGGCGCAGGGAGACCCGTGTGAATCCCCCGTCGAGCAGGAGGAGCGATCACGTCTTGATGGCCGTGCTCCCCCGGCGAGCCACCGACGGCAAACCCAGCGACGACATGGGCACAGGCCCGCATGCGGACGCCTTCACGGGTGCCGCGAGTGGAGCCCCCTTTTCCTCTCGGCCAGCCCGAGTGCTCGGAGCACCCTACTGCCGGCAATCCGACGAGCAGGGTGACTGGTCCCTTGATCGCGCGAAGACCTTGTCCTTCGCCTCTTGCTCCTACTGCGCAGGCATCCTCGTCTCCTCCCTACCACCCTCCCCCCATCCGCTGGCCTCCCTCCCTCATGCAACCCCCAGGCCCCCAAGTCTCTCGCGAGCGAGAAAAGGCTCGTCGTCGTCGTCGTCGTCGCCGTCGTCGTCGCCGTCGCCGTCGCCGTCGCCGTCGCCGTCGCCGTCGGTCAGGAGACCCTGCCACCGAGGGTGTCGCGCCGCGGGGCCTGCGACAGCTCCGCCGCGGCGGGGTCCGGCGAAAGGTCGTCCTCGACGACGCCCATGCCCAGGAACTGGGGAGGAGAGGAGAGGAGGGAGGAGAAAACGAAGACGGGGAGGAGGAGGAGGAGGAGGAGGAGGAGGAGGAGGAGGTGGGGAGGAGGGGAGGAGGAAGGCAGAGGAGGAAGAGGAGGAGGAGGGGGGGCGGAGGAGGACGAGGAGGAGAAGGTGGAGGAGGAGGAGGAGGAGGAGGAGGAGGAGGAAAAGGAGGAGGAGGAGGAGGAGGACGACGACAAGAATGGAGGGGAGGAGACTTGCGTTTCGGACCTGCTGTTGGGACTCTGGCCCGGAGGCCGCGGTCACACCCCGGGGTGGACGAACAACCGCCCCGCTGGGCCGAAGGCTGCCACGCGAGGGGTGCTGGACGTCACCGCAACGCGGTCCGTCCTCCCTCCAGGGAGGGGGGGGGAGGGTAAAGAGGAGGGGGCGGAGAGGGGGAGGAAAGATGAGGAGGGGGCGGAAGGGCGGGAAGGATCCAAGTAGGGCGTAGAGGGAGGAGAGAAAGAAGGAGGGAGGAAGCGCTGAGGCGGAGGAGGAGCAGGAGGAGAAGGAGGAGAAGGAGCAGCAGAAGAAGGCCGAAGAGGAGGGAAGGGGGGGAGGCGGGGCGGATGGGGGTAAGACTTGTGAGAAGATGGAGGTGGAGGGCTTTGGACGAAGTCAAGCAGAAGGATGAGGAGGAGGAAGAGGAGGTAGGGAGGAGTGAGGAGCAGTTGGGGGCACCGGACTCGGAGGATAAAGGGGTGAGCATGAGAACGGGACGGAGGAGTGAGGAGGAGGAGGAGAAGGAGGAGGGAGACGGAGGTGAAAGAGTGAGAGGGAACGAGTAGCAGTGAAGAGGAGCAGAAGGAGTGAAGAGGAGCAGAAAGAGTGAAGAGGAACTGAGGTTTGCAGGAGGACGTGCAGGAGGACGAGCAGCAAGGAGAGGTGGAAAAGGAAAGGGGGGGAAAAAGAGGAAGGAGGGAGGGACGAGGAAGGAGGGAGGATAAGGAGAGAGAAATATGACGACGGAGGCGGGGAAAGACTGTAGGAAAGCCTGGAGGCATCAACGATGCTTAAGCAACTGCCGCCCGTCCCAAGTTCGGCGACTCCAAAGGGTAAGGTTTGCAAAGGGTGTGGTTTGCAACCGACACCCCGGGGGGCACCCTGGGGGGCGGGCGAGGACCTCGACAGAGTTCTCCGCCGCGCCCCGAGGAGGCCCGACGAGGACAGCGTCGCGCCGCCCAAGCTCCAACGGCGCCGATCGCAAACCACACCCCGACGTAAGCACACCCTTTGCAGTCGCCGACAAGTCCCGTCCCTTGAATCAGCACGGGGAGCGCACACTTGTCGGCGGCGACGATAAGGGCGAATAGCCCAGGGGTGGGCAATACATGTATTCGCCTGGGAGCCTTGTCGAAGACATAAATCATCGGCGTCCCTGGATACATGTTTTGCCCCCCCCCTGGGCTATTCGCCCCTGTCGTCGCCTCCGAACTTGAAGGACGGGCGCACCACGGGCCTGCCACTCCGGCGTGAGCCCCGGCTTTCGATACCAGGCACGCCCTCCGTGCGCGCAGTTTCTACGGGTGCCAAGGGCACTTAAGAAAGTGCCCAGTGATGTCCCGAGTGTTGAGAAGGAGTTGTCTTACATCCGTGACAAGTTACGCACCATTAATCATCAGCGTCGGCAAAAAACTCAGGGCGTCTCAAGTCCGAGCCCCACGCTCAACATGAGCCACCCTCCCTCCATGTATTTTCTGCACGCTCCGAAGCCTTGGAGCAACGACACTGAGGCCTCAAGCGCAAGCGCTGCGCAGCAGACATATATGATAAGAAGTCGTGAATAAGAAATCGTGATATAATATATCGTGAGGCACATTCGCTGCCGACCTTTCGAAGTACACACATGCCCCGAACTTCTGTGGGTCCCTGGGGCCACTGTAACATGGCTTTGAGCATCGTGTCACGATACGCAATATGATTATTGAGAGTGGCCACGGACGTGTCGACCTGATCGATGGTGGTGCTCTAGTATGAGCTCATGAGCATGCGCATCTCTCCAAGCAGGCCGCCGTTATGGAGCTGCTTGGGCGGCGACCTGGGAGTAGAGAAATCTCTCGAGATCAGGCCCTTTTCGTGAACGACTGGAAGACCTGTGGCGCGACGGAGAAAATGAACTGCTGCACGATTTGGAAAAGGAATTGCGCCGACGCTGTCCCCCTTGCCGTTTGCCAGCACTTCTCGACGCACTGTTGGACTCACTGTGGTGAGCTCGACTGTGACTGGTACTGCTATCCTTCTGCCGCCTAACCCTTCTCTTCTTGCTCATGGCCACCTACAACCACAGGAACTGGGAACGCCTCGATTTATCCGCGGCCGCGGGTGGCTGGCCGCTGACTAATGTCGCGCCAGATCAAGAACACACACGGGCTTGGCAACTCGCGAGTATGGGTCGAAGAGACGGAAATGGTCCTCAAGGCAGGCCGCCTCGACCCAGACCTCACAGTTGCGATCAAGCTCAAGCCGCCGAGGCCCTTCGGTTCGAACGTGAGCCAAAATTGCTACGGAGGAGGAGGAGGAGGAGGAGGTACAGGAGGCTGAGCGTCCCCAAGAAAGCTCCATCAACAATCATCGACGAACCTCCGCTCCCTGCGGGAAGTCAGCTGCGAGACGTGCAACGCGGGCGAAATGCGCCGCCTCGGAGTCCGAGGACACCCATCCCGCCTAACCCTCTCCGTTTGCTGCGGACGAGGCGATGGAAGTGATAAAGGATAGCGAAAGACCGAAGCCGAGGAAAGGAGCAAGGACAGAGGACCAACAACTGGAGCACCGAAGGCGGCAACAACATCGAGGAACAGGAAGAGCAAGGAAGACACGTTTACGTCGCAGCGCGGCAGAGGCAGTCTGCACGCGCGCCCAGGCAACCCGGGCCTCGATGAAGGAACCCACCGGAGGTGGAGCAGGAGGAGTATAGGCAAAAGAGGCAGGAGTGCGAGGAGGAGGAGGAGGAGGAGGAAGAAGAGGAGGAGGAGGAGGAGGAAGAGAGGGCGTCCCTGAAGGAGAGGAGAAGGAGAAGGAGGAGGAGGAGGAGGAGGAGGAGGAGAAGGAGGAGGAGGAGGGGGAGGAGGAGGAGACGAGCGTAGAGGGAGTCCAAGGTCGATCCACCCGCCTAGGAGCCCCTCGGCACCTGGCGCTTCTCGACGCCCGTGGCGGAGGAAGACGAGACAGCAGCGAAGGACGCAGCAGCGGTAGCAGCAGCGAACGGACGCGCCTCGGGTGCAGGCGAGCGGGGCGCACCTGCTGTTGTAGCTGGTGCACTCGTGGTCGACGCGGCCGTCGACGGGCGAAGATTCGTTTCAATCCGAGAG